TCTGGGCTTCTGACGCACAATTCGCATTTGCGATGGTCGCAATTATGAACAAGGGTTCGCAATTGCGATACCTACAGCTGGATAAAAGGGGGGGGGGGGTATGGGACTTAGTGGGTGTTTGGACATAAGAATTGTAAAAATCCAAAATAGGGCGAAATTTTTTTCAAGTGAAAATGGTATTTGAAATTTAGAGTTGTGTTTGGACATGAATATAATTTTAGGTTGTTTTTGAAGTTTTGTGAGTGATTTGAGTGAAAAATTTGAAAATTAGCTTTTTGGAATTTTTCAAATTTTCGAAAATTTTCAAAATGCATCTTCAAGTGAAAATTGGAAATTTCATGAAAAAACGTTGATTTTGAAAAAAGGGAATTTTTTATTATGTCCAAACGAGCTCTTAGCTTATTTTATACCATTTCTCAACCCTAAATACTCTAGAAGTGATTTTTCAAGAATTTCTTCTTCCCAAAATCATTGGTAAGCAACTCTAACCCACTTTCTTTCAATTTTTCATTACTTTTCATGAGTTTTTAACATCAAATCTAGGATTTTTATTGTAGAAATTAGGGATTTGGATAAAAATTTGGGGATTTCATAAATTGAGATTTAGACATCAAATTGAGGTCGGATTTCGAAATAAATCACTTAATCGGACTCGGGGGTGAATGGGTAATCGAATTTTGGTCAGAATCTCAGGTTTTGACCAGGGGGTGCGGGGTTGACTTTTGTTGACTTATTCCAATTTCATTAAAGATCATTTTTTTTTCACTCGTGGGTAGTTTCTAAAGCTTATTTTGAATTATTTGAACTATATTTGGCTAGATTTGATTGGCTTGGAGGCTAACTCTAAAGGAAAGGTCGTGGTTGATTGCGCAAAGAGGTAAGTGTTGTATCTAACCTTGACTTGAGGGAATTAGAACTTGTTGGACTATTTGTTATGTGAATTATGTGGGAGAACGACATATATGCGAGGTGTCACGACCCAATTCCTCCCTCCGTGAACTGTCGTGACGACTCCTAGTCTCTACGACTAGGTAAGCCTAACACATTGCGGAAATAAAAACAAAAACATGAGTATTATCTATTGGCAACACAACTATCCATTAAGAAACTAAATGCCATTCGGCATATAAAGTTAACACTTCAGAAAAGTACCAAACAACACCCAAAACCTGGAAACTTGCAAGTCACAAGCTACTAAGATGTTCTAACTATTATATACATCATCTCTATAGAAAGAAAGAGAAATGAACATAAGGGGATAGAGGGGGAATCCGATGATCTGCGGGCGCGGGCAGATGTACCTTGAAGTCTCCAACAGGCAACAGCGACCGCAACTAGTGATGAGGCTGGTACGATGAGCCTGGATCTGCACACGAAAAACATGTGCAGGAAAGGGCATGAGTACACCACAACAGTACCCAGTAAGTGCTAAGCCTAACCTCGGTCGAGTAGTGACGAGATCTGGTCAGGGCCCTACTGGTTTATATATGTAGAATAAAGTAAAAAAGTAAGAAATATTGCAGTAAGATTAAATACTAACAGTCAACAAAATGAAATCACAGAATAACACTACAACTCAGTACACAGAGATAGCAACAGGGGATCTCCCGGGATACCGTCTCATAGTCCCAAACGTAAATGTGCAGCGGGATATCCCCGAATACCGTTCCGTAGTCCCAAAGTAAATATATCCAGTACAGGGGATCTCCCGGGATACCGTCCCATAGTCCCAAATATAAATGTGAAGGGGGATCTCCTGGAATACCGTTCCGTAGTCCCAAAGTAACCATACCGCTCAATCATTATAAATAACAGTTTCAACAAGAATGCTACAGATTAAATTAAATTCATAACAAAGACGACAGGAAATCCTTACTCTAAACATGCTGCACAGAGTCCAGGTAGGCAGTTAAGGGAATCAAGATCAAGTTCAAGCAATCAAGCTCAAGAGCAAGATCATCGTTCGTGGAAACAAATATAGATTCAAGATCAAGCTCAAAGGCCCTTGAATTTATTTACCATTGGAAAGAAGAATCAGAGGATTCATAGAGATTGTAACACCCAAATATTCGAAATAAAATACTACGATTGTTGCGATATATTCGGTCTTGATTTTATTTTCTCGTCCGCAATTTATTGTCTACAATTATCATATCCAAAATCCTAGTATGAATTAAAGTTTAAGTTGACATTTTAGACTTTTCACGTTGCAAATGCTAGAAGGTATATAACCCTTGAAATAATTTTTGACCGTATCCAAAACTACTAGACTCGAAAACAATAAACTTAAATTTATTTGAAATTACCCACATAATAATTCTTTGATATGTCGAAATGATTGATATTATGTTGGGAGTGTGAAGGCAGATTAAAGTATCCAATGTAAATATGACTATTCAGAAACAATCTTTCAAGCTGTGTATTATTCTTCAATAGCCAATATCTCGTATGGTTTCTTTGAAGGATCAAAGGTATCTCAACTTATTTTGGTAGTAAAAGAATCTGGGTATTGCTTGAAGATGATTAAAATTTAATTTAAAAAGGCATCCAGTTGGAATATTGGAACTCAAATACGACGTTGAGTTCCTAAAATCCCAAAATTCCATCAGCATATACCACAACAAGGCTTGAATGATTAGCAAAGCTTTCCAAAGAAATTGAGACTTTAAAGTTGTTCCTCGAAATATATGATATTCAAGAGATGTGAGTTTAGAAAGTGGATAAAATGCAATATTCTAGTTAACCATTTGTTAGAGATATCAAAGGGTCGAGAGATAAAATGCAATATTCTAGTTCACTTTTTTTCAAAAAAAAATTATTTTTTTCAAAATTAGCATTTGGTCATAAAATATTCCATTTTCACTTGAATATGCATTTTGGAATTTTTCAAAACTTTAATAAAACTCCAAAAAGCTCTTTTTCAAAATTTTCACTCAGATCACTCACAAAACTTCAAAAACAACCCAAAAGTATATTCATGTCCAAACACAACTCTAATTTTCAAATACCATTTTCACTTGAATTTTTTTTCCCACTTTTTTTGGAATTTTACAATTTATTATGTTCAAACGCCCACTTAGAGTTAGGGGTGTTCGTCGATTGGTACGGTACGGTATTTAGACATTTTGGTTCGGTATTTTCGGTATTCGATTTCTTAAAATTCTATACCAATACCGTACCTAATTAAATTCGGTATGGTTCGGTTTTTCTCCTTTTGGTTTCGGTTTATTCGGTTCGGTAACTTTGGTTTATTCGGTTTGAATACCTAACTAGTGCATAGAGCCATAGGCTATAATATTCTTAATTAAAGTAATCAAAAATACAAAACTGAAAATGTTTGTTGACAAAAATTTTGTCCAAAACTAACAAATATCGATCCAAATAGAGAAAATTGTACATAAAAGAATATTTGATCATTAGAAATGTCTTGTTACTTGTTTAGAGTTAATTGATGAACTTAGAGAATAAAAAAAAGTAAAATTTAGATTTTTTATATTTATATATAATTGATAATATATGTTTTGTGTAATATAATATATATTTCGGTACGGTATCGATATTTCGGTTTTTTATTTTAAAATACCAAATATCATACCTAATACCATTTTTTGAAAAACTTAANATTTTAAGGATACGTGGATTAAATTGATACAAAGTGATAAATTAAATTGCACTTGAAATAAAATATGATAAAGTAAATACAAACCATGCGAACTGAACAGTTACATCCTTGGGAGGTGGGCTACCCTTGAACAAAGTGTATTTCGATCAGTGTCAAGACACAATTGAATAAGAACTTTAAAGAGAAAACGGAGAAGGGTCAAATATGCCCTTATACTATTGAAAAAGGTTTAATATTATCCTCCGTTATACTATCAGTCCAAATACATCCCTAACGTTATACTATCGGTTCAAATATATCCCTGACATTATGAAAGTGGTACAAACCTACCCTTCCTCCGTTAACTGCCTCCCCTATGAAGACATTTGATTGCTACCTCACCATTTCACCCTGTTTGCAGCTACCAAGTTCAATTACTTTGAAGTTCTATCATTATTTTGAAGACTTCACTGCCTATACTTCCTCTTGCTTTTCAAAATACCTGCTGCTTCTCCGACCGATCCTGGAATTTTACGTACCTTTCACTTGACCTTACAATTTTGTTTTTTATTTTGCATTTCTTTGTGTTGCCGCTGAATTTGTAAGACCTATTTAGGAAAAATTTAGTAGCACTTTTATTTTAACATAAAACGTAAAGAGAGAAAAAATGACAGCCTTCCAGAAATGTGGTTGAAGAGAAAGAAACAAAAAAATTAACTCTCGTGTCTAGGATGTTTTTCTTTCTCACCATGGTCAATTTTGAAACCTTAAACTAGTTTGCATGTATCTTTGCTTAGTTCTTTATATAAAACAAAATGTATTTTCGTTCGTATAAGCATGGATTTTGAATAGCAAAATCAAAATTTTCTCGGTTCACATTGTTTCATATTATCTTTAGTTAGCATTTCTTTTGATATAGTTTGTTTGTATATGTATGATCTGTGTTTTTTCTTCAAATGAACGGGAAAGAAAGGTTGTGGGGAAGGGATGAAAATGAGAGTGTAATGGTGAGGTGGCAATGAAATGTTGTCATAGGAAGGCAGTTAACGGAGGAAGGGTAGGTTTGTACCACTTTAATGATTCAGGGATATATTTAGACCGATAGTATGACGTTAGGGATATATTTGAAATGATAGTATAACGGAGGATAATATTAAACCTTTTTCAATAGTATAAGAACATATTTGACCCTTTTCCGTTTAACAAATTATGCACAGCCCTACTTATAGTTTATCCAAAGTGAAGTAGTTTCTAGACAAATTTAATATTAGTCTCTGTTAAAGTTGTAGGGATGACATAGTGCTAGTAATAGACCAGCACATGATTAGGTAAAGCATTTACTCCATAAAAAGACGACATTCATTATTTTTCAGCTTCCAGAATTGATGAAATTGAGATTAAACTTCTGTCAGTTACTACTGCTACAAAAAGACCGTTTTCTTAATTTTTAACAATGTCCGTTGACAAAGTAAATTCCAAATGCCAGAAACTTTAGATTACTAAATTCAAGAATTGTCTTTTTACTAACTACTTTATTCCTAACGATATGAATCTTCTTGTTTACGATTTCAGCACAACAATACTTTTGCGTGGATACCACCCACCCACCCCTTTTAAAGTCACAACCCCATATCATCACTGGTTTCTGAGACTGTTCTTGGAACTGTGTTATTAGTAATTAAGTTTAATTTACACACAAAAGTGGAGAATTATGAGATAATAGAGAGAGTGCCCATATAGCCTTTTTGGTGGATTCAGCTCAACCACCTATTCAAAGTGTCCCTACACATAAACCCAATTCATTTATTGGATTCTGAGACTGTTTTTATTGTGGTAATTTACATAAAGAAAAGAAAGTTTGAAGCTTTATTGGATTCTTTGGTTGATCACACAAAGAATGGAGTTTTGATTGGAGATAAAAAGTATGGGAACTGCTGTGGCTGGCTTCTCTTGTTTCCAATTCCTTTTCCTTTATTCACCTAATTTTGAAAGGTATAATTCCATTTCTCCTTTTCTTGGTATATGATGGACCGGAGAATTATTCTTTCTGATTGAAACTTAGTATCTAATGTTTCCCCCTACTTTCCGTGTGACATAGAAAAAGATAAAAGAAGAACCATTTTGTTATTGATGGTCTAGTGTGGAGATGGATGTAGATAATATGGGAATTTTGTCACTGTGCTTTAATTTCTTCACTTTTTGGTTTAAAGATGATGACCAAAACTAAATGGTATCTCTTTATTGGGACTAAGGGATTATAATTGCAATAATTTATTACTTTTTGGAAATGTCTGTGGTTTTGTGTTTACTGTAGTGGGTTATTGGGTTTCGACAGAAACTTGTGTCAGTTGACTGCAATCTTCTGGTAACAACAGAACACAATTTCAGTTGATCTGCCCCTTCTGAAATAAAGATAAAAAGCAAGGGAAAGAAATATTTGGCTGGCAAAGTAGTAAATTTTTTGAGGGGAGGCATTAATATGATTGATCTGAATCCTTTTATCCTTTTCTTTTTGTTATCCCGTTGTTGCGATACTAAAATACAGTGGTAGTTGTAATTCTAGCTATTTTCCTTGTCAAATGAGCTTAATTCGTTGTTGTTGGTGGCCTTGCTGATAATGAAGGATTGTGAGAGAGACTGTAGAATATGAAGAATGTTAGTTGGGTCAACAAAAGAGGAAGACCTCGGACTAGTTTGAAAGTGCGCAAGATATTGAATTGCCTATGCTCGTCTGAACAAATTCTGATGGACGAAATAATCCAATCTCCTGAATCCCTTGCAACTAAGGATTACACAGCAAGTGTTCATTCATCACAAGCTGGAGAAGCTGGCCTAAAGCCTGATACTGGCAATATTGAAGAAGCTGAATCATCTTTGCGTGAGAGTGGCTGTTTGAATTATGAGGTGACTTCCCTGATTTATTACATGCAAATCTTTTCCTTTCCTTTTGAAGGGCTTCTTGTTCCCTTCTCCCTTTGGGCCTACCACACTGCAATGTTAAGTCTATCTTTCGTTTATCATGTCATTCTTAAATACTTCAAAGCTCAATTTGCATGTAGCAGAATTTCAATTTGGTGGCAATTTAACTAAAGACATCAATATTTTTCTAGGAAGCAAGAGCATTACTAGGAAGATATGAGTACCACAAGGGGAATATAGAGGCTGCTCTACATGTTTTTGAAGGGATAGATATTGCCTCGGTGACTCCTAAGTTGAAAATCACCCTTGCCGAAAGAGCGAAAACTCAAAAGAGACGTTCACAGAGTTTTTCTACGCCACCAATGTCCATAAATGCTGCGAGTTTGCTCCTGGAAGCAGTCTTTCTCAAAGCAAAATCGTTGCAGGCGCTTCAGAGGTACAAAGGTAGAGTATGTGTTTAGTCAATATCTGTATTAGCACGCCTTCGTGCAACAATCATCTTCAATAATGAAAAAGCTTTTTCAGTTTGCTTCATTTTATTAAATTTTTTCTTCTATTACTTTCCTCCTAATGTTTCCTCTTTCTGGAAATTGTTGTCTTTCTCAGCAGTTTTCCATGATATACTCATGTTGAAATTTTTATATGTCTGCCCTAGCTGTCTGTACTTTTGTTATTTTACCCATTCTTCACTTCCCAATTATTTTGTGATTGAGGCATAGTTGATTAATATTGTTGATGCATCCTTTCACTTATCCACTTAATTGAGCCAATAAATTATCCTGAAAAGTGAAAACTCTTTGGATCGCGCTGCTTTTATGCTTTTGGATTTTTCGACGATGTACTGGTTTCATACTCTTGATGAATATGGAGAACAAAAAAATGTAATCTATAACTCTGCTACTCTCCCATCCCAAGTATATCAGGTTATCCTAAAAACTTTACTCTTTATCAGGTTATTAGCATTATGCACAGTCATTCTTTGTTAATTTCCATCAAATAAGTGCTCAAGTCCTTTAGTTAGGTGTTCTGATTCATATACCTTTTTACTTGTGATTAATGTTTATTCTGCCATGTGTATGTATGTTTGATTGTATGGACAAGGTGACAAGAGAAATGTCTACCTGAAAGTTTAATGACTGAAAGTTCTCACCCTATTCAGCTAATTCATTTCCAATATAAATTTTTGCAGAAGCTTCTCAATCATGTACAGTAGTTCTGGACATTCTCGAATCTTCTTTTCCAGCAGGCTTTCCTGAAACCTTTGGTAGTGACTGTAAACTGCAGGACACTCTCAGCAATGCTGTTGAGCTGCTCCCTGAATTATGCAAACTTGCAGATGCTCCTCGAGAAGCAATTATGTCATACCGCCGAGCTCTTCTGCATCCATGGAAACTTGAGATCCAGGCTACTGCAAGGATTCAGAAGGAATTTGCCATTTTTCTTCTCTATAGTGGAGGTGAATCATGTCCACCTAATCTCCGATCTCAAATGGACGGTTCATTTGTCCCCAGAAACAATATTGAAGAGGCTATTCTTCTCTTGATGATTTTGTTGAAAAAGATTTTTCTACAAAGGATTGAGTGGGACCCTTCAATTCTTGACCATCTCTCATATGCATTATCCATATCAGGGGGTCTAAAGGCTCTGGCTAACCAAGTAGAAGAGTTGCTTCCCAGAACTATAGATCGGCAAGAGATGTATCTTATCTTAGCTCTATGTTATTATGGAGAAGAAGATAACTTCGCTGCATTGGACTTGTTGCGGAAACTGTTTAGTACAGAGGATCACACTTGTGTTCCAGGTTTGTTATTGGCTTCAAAATTATGTGCTGAAATCCCAGATTGTGCAAACGAAGGGATAATTTATGCTCATACAGCTATTAGAATCGAGCAAGAAAGATGCAGTCAGTTGATGGGTGTTGCCAATTGTGTATTAGGCCTCTCACTTTCAGCTCATTCTAGAGCAATGGCGACAGATTCCGAGAGGGTTAAGATACAATCAGAAGCACTTAAGTCCTTTGAATCTGCTGGGAAACTGACAAAGATGAGTGATGCTAATGTCATTTATCATCTTTGTCTAGAAAATGCAGAGCAAAGGAAGTTGGATGCCACAGTCCATTACGCAAAGTGGTTGCTTAAATTGGAAGGTGGTTCTACTTTGAAAGGGTGGATGTTGTTGGCTCGGGCATTATCAGCTCAGAAACGGTTTATGGATGCTGAAACTGTTATTAATGTTGCCTTAGACCAAAGTGGAAAGTGGGATCATGGAGAACTGTTGAGGACCAAAGCTAAACTCCAAATTGCGCAGGGTCAAGTGAAAAATGCTATAGAAACTTATACTCAGCTTCTTGCAATTCTTCAGGTTAAGAGAAAAAGCTTCAGATTGGGGGAAAATCTCAAGGTAAGTGAGTCTTGTCCTTACAAGCTGAAATGGAGCATCTAAGCTTCTTTACATCTGTCTTATTTGACGCTTGAAACGGTTGTGAGGGGCTTGCAAGTAAAATGACTATAAAGCTTTTTATACGTAAACTCTTTAGAGGTTGAACTCCTTTCTATGGACTATGTATCAATTAGCCAGCTGGTTAGCTAGCAATTGTTCTGGCTGTGTCTGCTAATATAAAAATATCATGGCTATCAAAAGCCAAACAAAGTTACCTTGTCATTCAGAGATAAATAATCTCCTAGGCAAAATAAATGGGTGACTTCACAGTGCAGAAGATGACGAAGAGTAGCGGAGTGTGCAAGGCGTCTGGACAGAGGAAAAGGTTGAACAATTAGATAGAAGGGGGAGAACTAAGTGGGGACTGAACACCTGTAGCATGCCTTATCGCTGCCTAAAACTAATTTCTTGGAGATGCTTCAAGATTGTGTGTCTCAATTAAACCAGGCTGCTCATGCAAACACTCCGTATTGGCGTTGGCAGGCTAAAGCACGTCTTTACTTCTCATGTGAAGTCAAAGTCTCCTGTTTGCTCCATTGGGTTACATATTACATAATTGTCTGATATTGCATAGCTGAATGATATAGCTTTTCGATTTGGTAATTCAGGAAAAGTCTTTTCCTTCTTTTTTTGTGTGTTTATATGGGTGGGTTTGGGGTGGGTTGGGGGTTGGAATAGGTATGAGAGGGGAAGGCCATGCCATTGGCTTTATCAGTCTCTCTCTCTGACTTTTAGAAGTGTGATTGTTATAAATGTTAGGATTTTTCTTCTGCTATTTCTAACTAGCTTTGGTTTTTAGGATGGAGGAAAAGTTTTGAGTTGATTTGGTTCGCTTCTCCTTAAGCCTCATTTTAAACCTTAAGCAGATTAATATTTTAAATATCCAACCAGCTTGAAGATTTTGACTCTTCCACTTGTCCTTCTTAGGATAATTCCTTTTCTGGTGTAATGCTTTTTGCTGCCGTACTTTCTTGAAACATTATTTTGTGGAGGAAGAAATAAAAATTTGATTTTATATACATAACAGGAGTTTGGAGACCATTGCAGAACATTGGAGCTGGAAACCTGGCTGGATCTTGCCTCCATTTACATAAATTTATCTCAGTGGCGAGATGCGGAGATGTGTCTTTCCAAAACTGAGGCCATTTGTTCATATTCGGCTCGTAGATCGTATACTGCTGGTAGATATAATCTCACTCATATTTTCCCCTGTCTGTGCTCATTAATCATTATTCCAAACATATGCATGTGACTCAAAGTGTTCACTCTTGTTGTTGTATATTCATGAGAAGACTGACAAAACACATAATTACAAGTCCTTGTCAATTATAGTCAATTTGAATATTCTGTAATGTGACAGTGGAAGGGGAGAACTTTCTTGGCAGACGATGTTATGTTAGACCAGTGCCTCATAGGACTAGAATCATTTATCCAGTGTCACGGAGAAATTCATCGGTGCTAAAGAGTTTTTGTGTGCTCTCTTAAGAGTTTTATAAACTCTATCTGATATTATGGGACTACACATCTATTGGAATGCCTTTAGATGATCCACTTAGTTCTAAAAGAGCCCCACGTTAACTATACCCAAGTTTAGAGGAATAGTTTCAACCTTTCTGTGATGCTTTCCCCACTGAACCTACTTTATACAAAAGTTCCTATATTATGTGAATTTCCCTTTCACCGCTGTGTACTTAAATTGCAAGTCATTTAACTCCTTGAATTCCGTTAAACCTTCTCTCTTATATATCCTAGGATGTTGAATTTGGCTATTGTTTTCTAGGCTTTTTAGTGTTTACCAACAGATAGTTCATAGTTCCATAGATGTCTGGTGCTTCAGCTATATACAAATATAAGGGTCAGGAAAATTCAACTGTTTGATGATATCATCTGTGCGGAGGTGTGTGGATGTGGGGAAATCAACTGTTTGTTTGCCTACATTCTTTTGGTTATCAGCTCCAGCATAAATAGTTACTGCCGGTTAAAGTTTGTTAATGTCATCTTGCAAAATTTTATAAGATGGGTAAATGCATCCCCCGTTCTTGATTCGGCTACTTCTTTATAATCTTACTTACTGGTTCCTACTTTGGGTGGGCATAGCAAATTTGATGTCTACAATGGCACTGAACACTGTTTTATTCACACTTGTGTCGTTATGTGCAATTTACTCTTTATGCTAATTAGCATGCCATTCTGATCAAGGAGTATATTTTTGGTGATATACTCAGGTTTGCTTAACCAATCGAAGGGCCTATATAAAGCAGCGCTGAGAGATTATTGCAATGCTTTGGCTGTTAATCCGTCCCACGTGCCAAGTCTTGTATCAACTGCGGTGGTGCTTAGGAAGACAGATAAACAGTCTCCTGCAATTATTCGAAGCCTTCTCACAGAAGCACTACGGCTTGATCGGATGAATGCTTCTGCGTGGTATAATCTGGGCCTGCTTTACAAGGAGGAAGGTTTAGGTTCAGCATTGGAGGCTGCTGAGTGTTTTGAAGCTGCTATTCTTCTGGAAGAAACTGAACCTGTCGAACCATTTAGATGACTTCCTCCCTGTATATAATTTATCACAGATTTTCAAAATGGCAATCTCTGCAGCTGATGAATCCATCTTGCGAGCTGTGAATTTGTAGTTTAATGAGAGAGTGGGAAGAGAATAAATTATGCTTTTGTTTCTTGACCATGTTTTTGAAGATGGTAGTCGAGGTGAGTCCAAAGAGTTCATTATTGTACTGCAGAAACATTGTTGCCTTATAGTTTGCAGTATTCCAAGTCCTATACCTATTGTTCTGAAGCCACCCTAAAACCCCATAACGTACCGTGGAAAATTTGCTTTGGTCGAGAGGTACAATTTTATTTTGGCTTCAGGAACGGATCGAGGAAGAGTTTTTCGGATAACTTTGCTGTTGATTTCTGAAGCTGGAGCTTTTGGCAAGTAAGTGTTGGAACAGCAGAATGCATCATCAGGTACTATTCAACTAAAGATGTATAGCTTTAAAAGTTGAAGCTCATTACTCATGAGAGCTACTGGTACCTCCAGATGATCTTATAAGAATAGGGGAGATTGAAGACTTGCTACGACTTTGTCCCTCCATTATGCGATTTAACAGGGGAAAATAAAGGAGAAAAACGAGAGTTAAGTGCATTGTTATGATATTTTTCTCACAGATAGTGATCAACATTCACTGTACTTGCTCTTCTTTGTTCTTACATGCTCATTAAAAATATAAAAGATTCAGTGTGGAGGGCCAGGCCAGTGGTGTGAAGTGATAGATTTACTGTGATCTTGATGTATTCTGCTTATCCGAGTGTTAATAAGTTTCCCTGTACAGTACATCAAAAGAAAGAAGAAAAAAAGGTAAAAAGAATTGAAGGCTGCCCCTTGATCTTCTTAGTACTGGTGCTTCTCCTTCCTTACTCCTGTTTCTCTAATATGGTTGAATTTTGTAAATAATAACTACTAGTAGTAGTTATCTAATGTTGGATGGGAGTAACGTTACATGTCTAAACTAGTTGCCATTAAAACTTAAAAATTAATTAACTCAAAATTATGTGTTGATGGAGGGTAGCAATTTTCCGATGATATAGAGTTAGTCCGGGCACCGAGTTAGTCAAAATTTTATAACTAAAAGAGAAAATACATTGCTTAAAAAAAATTTCTTCATTCATTATTCAATCAACAAAAATATTTTTAGTAATCATCGCTTCTGCGCTTTGCTCCTCTCATTTCTTTTCTTCCCTCGCCGGGAAAGAACCCAATTTTCTCCGGCTATCGGAACATTCATACTCGCCGGTAAAGCTACCCCTTTAACCCCAAAATGTCATTAATTCCATCTTTATCCCTTAAATACCCAAAACCTTATCTTTTATCCCCCAATTCAATATCTTCTTCAAACTCCAATTTCTCAATTTTGCATAGCAAGAACCGATGTTTAAGCTCTCAAGCTATAAAAAACGTAAAAGGCTTGTTAAACGCCATTGCATGTTCGACGCCGTTAATTGGGAGAGTGGGTTGTTAACGGAAGCCCAAATTCAGGCCCAACACCAACTCATACCCAGCAACCCACTTAACTATACTATATCTTTCTCTTATTACAGTTTAGTCCATGTACAATTGATAATAGCTCATATATATATAGAAATAAGAACAGTCTAGAAGATAAGAGAGCATTCTGTATTTTCCGGAAATATTGACTATGGAATAAAAAAAGCTCTCTCTTTTCTCTTTCTAATTCTAGGGTTTATTTGCACAAATTCTTCTTTCATAGCTCGATTTTCTGCAATTAACATGGTATCAGAGCAAGGAATCGATGATCCTCGATCTCCTCTTTCGCTCGATGGTACCCTCATCGATTTTCATGAACTTTTTCGGTTCTGTCGATCTCATTTGAAATCACATTTTGAAGTGAAGATTTAGGAATAGGGCGTTTTTTTTACCCTGTGTTGCAACTATTGGAGATTCCTACGACAATTCTGGTCATTTCCGTTCTCCGGCACTTTGCTTCGGTATCTTCTTCATTCTCACCGATTCAGCGGGATTATTGACTTCAAGGCCTCACCTTCTTTAGGTTGCAAAGAAGGACGGTAACATTCTCCTTATTTTCTGCTACATTTAGGTGAAAATCGAGTGTTTCTCGTATCAATTTGGAAATTTCCAAAATCTAGGGTTAAGTCATGGGAAGTCCAGATGTTAGTTCTTCCTCTGTGACAGCTGGTTTTGATGAGTTCAGCATAAATCCATCTCATCCATTCTATGTTCATCCATCGGATAGTCCTGGAACACACTTAGTGTCTCCACCTTTTGATGGGAATGGTTTTGTTATTTGGCGTAAGAATATGCTTACTGCCCTCTCCGCTAAAAACAAACTAGGGCTCATAACAGGAAAAGTCACTAAACCTCTAGCTAATTCTCCCTATTACCCCTTTTGGGAAAGATGCAACGACATGGTAATTGCATGGTTAACAAATTCATTGTCTAAAGATATAGCAAATAGTGTTATGGGGTTTGACACTGCTAAAGACATTTGGGATGATATAAATGAAAGATTTGGTACATCAAATGGTTCGAAATATATTCAAATACAAAGAGAAATCAATGCTGCTTCACAAGGACCATTAGACATAGCTACTTATTTTACAAAATTGAGGGGTCTTTGGGATGAACTTAGTACAGCCTATGTAGGACCAGTATGCACATGTGGAGCCTTACCAATATTCATTGAGCAACAGAAAATATACCAATTCCTTAGTGGTTTAAATGAGTCCTATTCTACTTGCAAGAGCAATATTTTGATGATGACATCCCTTCCATCCCTAAGCAAAGCCTATTCTATGCTTCAACATGATGAAAAGCAAAAGGAGACTTCAGCTCCTATATCCAGCTTTTCAAATGAGTCAGCCTCTTTCAATGCTTCTAGCAGTCCTGTCCAGACATCTGCTAGGCCTTATACTCAAAGGTTCCAGTTTGATCAAAAGAGAGGTTCAGGTTCTTCCTCTCAGTTGTCTTGCAAATACTGCAAAAAGACTGGTCATAGCATTGAGAAGTGTTATAAATTACATGGTTTTCCTCCTGACTTCAAGTTTACCAAAAGCAAAAGGACTGCTGCTTGTGTGCAATCTGAAGGTCCTTTTCCTCACCATACTCACATTCATGGTCAATCTTCTGAGATCACTGGTCATGGCTTCAGCAAGGAACAATATGACCATCTCATGACTCTGTTTCAACAACTGAATCATCCTCCTGTTATACATCCTGATAGTTCTGCCTCAGAAAACATTGGTTTTGCTCACTTTGCAGGTGTGTTTAATCATCCTGAAGTGCATTCTGCTGCTTTTCATGCATGTGTAGTTTCAAACTTAGGTTCAAATCCTTGGATTCTAGATTCAGGTGCCACTAACCACATGACACCACACAAACACCTTTTAACCAATTTAACACCACTCACTACTCCTTTCTTAATAACTTTACCTAATGGATACAAAGTAAAGGTCATATCTACTGGGTCTATGGAACTCAGGCCAGACATGATCTTACATAATGTTCTGTTAGTTCCTTCTTTTCACTTCAATCTCATATCTATTCACAAACTTCTTGTTCAATTCAGATGCATTGCAATTCTTACCATTTCTGCCTGTATTTTACAGGGCCCTTCTCTGAGGAGGCCACTGGAAATTGGTAAAGCTGCAAATGGGTTGTATTTCCTACATCCTAATGTGACTTCATCTTCTATGTCTGTTTCTTTTCCTATCAATGTTTCTAATTCTGTTCAATGTAATAATTCTAGTGCTTCTTATAGTGTTAATCCTTCTCCTGTAACTGTTCCTTTTACACATTGTACTAACAACTCTTCTGATCTTAATAAAAATGATGTTATTTGGCATCAAAGATTGGGACATGTTCCTTTTAATAGAATGAAATCCATTTCTTCTTTGTCCGGTAAGATCTCACATAAACAATCATTCTCCTGTAACATTTGCCCAATGGCAAGACAACACAGATTGCCATTCTAAAGCTCTATTCATTCTTCTACCCCTTTTCAACTTGTTCATGTTGACATTTGGGGCCCATACAATACTCAGACTTACAATGGATTTAGATATTTTTTAACTTTAGTGGATGATTTTTCCAGAGTCACTTGGACTCACCTATTGTCATGCAAAAGTAATGCCCTTTCTGTGCTCAAGGCTTTTCATGCAATGGTGAAAGTTCATTTCAACTCAAATGTCCAATCTTTTAGATCTGACAATGCCTATGAGTTAGGTACTAGTTCTGAAGCCCAACAATTCTTTTCTGCCAATGGCATTCTCCATCAGACTAGTATCCCTCACACCCCTCAACAAAATGGAGTGGTTGAAAGGAAACACAAACACCTGTTGGAAGTGTCTAGGGCCCTTTTGTTCCAATCTAAACTCCCCTTAAGTATTGGGGTGATTGTGTTCTCACAGCCACTTATCTGATTAATCGATTACCTTCCACTGTCCTTCATAACATTTCTCCATTTGAAAAACTACATGACTATCCCCCTTCTTTTGATCATTTGAGATCTTTTGGATGCCTTTGCTATGCCACCACTCCTAAGCATGACAGGGATAAATTCAAACCTAGAGCTATTTCTTGTGTGTTTTTGGGATACCCCTGTGGGAAAAAGGCTTATAAGCTCCTTAATCTTTCTAACCATTCTATTTTTTTCTCTAGAGATGTGCTCTTTCATGAACACATCTTTCCTTACCACCATCCCCCTTCCTCTCCTTTCCCTCCTCCTCCCACTGATTTTGTTGACTCTGATCCCACAGCACCTTGTGTCTCCTCTCCCCCTGTTTTTGCTAATTCTGATCTCTCCCCTGTTGTCCTTCCTTCCCCAACACCTTATGTTTCTTCTCCCTTGGCACCTCCTCATACTTCCTCTACATTCTCTCCCGTTCCTCCTTCCAATTCTCCTCCTCCTCCTCTTCCTGCCATCAGGAAATCAGGCAGAGTTACCAACCCACCTTCATATCTCTCAGATTATGTTTGCTCTTCTGTTCTCCCATCCTCTTCCCCACCTGTTTCCTTGAATCACAAGGTTTCTACCTCTGAATTGCACATGCTTGAGCCTCAGTATTACCAGCATGCCGCCCCTCATCCTGCTTGGAAGAAGGCCATGCTACAGGAATTTCAAGCTCTTGAGGCTAACCATACATGGGATATTGTCCCACTACCTTCTTATAAGAAGGCCATTCCCTGTAAGTGGGTATATAAGATTAAGCAAAGGTCTGATGGCTCTATTGAAAGATATAAAGCCAGGCTTGTCATAATGGGTGATACTCAAAAGGAGGGTATTGATTATAATGAGACATTCTCTCCAGTTGTCAAGCTCACCAGAGTTAAGTGTCTCCTTTCCTTGGCTGTCAAGAGACATTGGACTGTTTTTCAGCTTGATGTCAATAATGCTTTCCTTCATGGGGATCTCCATGAAGAGGTGTATATGAGAATCCCTCCTGGTCTTCAGATCTCTTCATCTTCTTCTTCCACTGCTTCTCCTTTAGTTTGCAAGCTCAAGAAGTCTTTATATGGCCTCAAGCAGGCTTCCAGACAGTGGTTCTCTAAGCTGTCTGATGCCTTGCTATCCAGAGGCTATATTGCCAGCAAAAATGATTACTCCTTATTCACCAAATCTTCTGGTGCTTCTTTGGTCATCCTTGTGGTCTATGTGGATGATATCCTCCTTGCCGGTTCTGATATTGCTGAAATGACTGCCTTAAAACAGTTTCTAGATGATCAATTTAAAATCAAAGACCTTGGTTTGGTCCACTACTTTTTGGGTCTTGAAGTTTCCTCTCATCCTGATGGTTATGTGCTGCATTAACACAAATACACTTCAGATTTATTGGAGGACTTCAAATGTTCTCATATTTCTC